AGAATATAAAATAATAAATAAAAAATTAGGTTCGAGAAGCTGAATGATGCGATCAATATGAGATTTCTTTATACCATTTGCTCCACTTTTGTATATGTTTGAAATTTTCTCTAATAAAACATAAAAGAAAAAAGAGCATTCCAGATGATTCCACGGGCCTCTCTCCTCCCTCACATCCCTGATAATCCTGGTACACCAGACTGCTTAGTTGTTGAGATGTCAGTCAGATAAAGGCAAGATCCTCCTTTCTCAGGAGACGCTTCCTCCCTGGGGGATGCCTCTGCTTTCACTTCGCATCTGCCCCTCGGTGTGCAGCAGATTAAAATAAGAATGGGGGGAACACATTAGTCAGACATTTATGACTTCAATGTAAGAAACTCCGGTTTTCTTCTGTGTCTTGCCGTAAAGACTCACCCTCGCTCACATGCCATGTCACCAGTGTGCTGGAGCAGGGCAGAAGAAATCACTGCTGCAGCGTGTGACAAGAATGTGAAATGTCCCAGTTCTAGCCGGAGCCAGGCAGCTGGGTCTGTTGTTTACCTGCTGGGGGACCTTGGCCGGTTACCTAACGTGTATCACACAGTGGCAGTGTGAAAATTAAATATGGATAAAGTATCTAGCCAAAAGTCTGGCATTTAGCCTCACTCAGTAAATGCAAATTATTTCCTTTCCTGTCAGAAACTGCTACTTGGCAGGAGCAACAAACAGGAATGGAAGCTGGTATGATTACCAACTATTTATAGCTGCTGTCCCAGCAGCAGCAAGAACCTGGGGAGGACATATTCTGGGTTTGGGTAGGTTCCCTGGATTAAGGAATTTTTAATTTTTTTTAAATTAACATTTTTGTCTTTGATTACAAAATATTAAATGATAAATTTATAAAATATATAGATAAGTAGAAATAAGGAAATAAAAACTACTCATAATCCTACCACAAAAATAGCCATGGTTAACATTTTGTGGTATACACTCGCATATATACACACACATGCATGCATTTTTGATGAAAGTGAAATTGCATTCTATATATTCCATATACTGTTTGGTCACTGCTTTTCTCACTTAACGTATCAAAAACATTTTTCATGTCATTAAAATTTCTTCTACAATATGACTTTAAAATAGCTGCCAGTAGTAACCAGAATTTACAATCATTAACAATATTTCCATGAACATTTTCATAAACTTTGCATATATTCATGATAAATTAGGTAAATTTCCTGAAGATAAGGTGCTGGTTTAAAGTATGCATATATATATAAAAGTTTAAAACATGAAGTCCTGTTGCCCTCCCAAAAGATGATATCAATGTATAGTCCCACAACATCATTCTTGTGATCTCAGAACTGGGGGGTGATTTTAACTTTATGAATTTATTCATTAAGTATATATTAATGGCTTACTTTATGGCTTTTTCACCTCTCGTGGGGACCCTCCCCCAGAATCCACACCCACATCTGATCTCGGACACACCCCCAAACCCAAACATTGCCAACACCTGCTTCAGCTGCCGCCTAGAAAACTGAAACAAGAACCCTCTCCCAAGCGAAAGATCTTCCACTCAAGCCTTCTGAAAAGTGGTCCCTGCTAACCAGTCCCTGAGCCACCCATCCGGCTTTTCTCTCTGCCTCTTGTTGGTGGGAGCCACTATGCCCTGGAGTTGCCGTGGGAAAGTCCAGCTCGGGGGGCTGCTCCTCTCCCTCCTTGGCTGGCTCTGCTCATGTGTCACTACCGTCCTGCCCCAGTGGAAGACTCTTAATCTGGAACTGAATGAAATGGAGACCTGGATCATGGGGTTGTGGGAGGCCTGCATCAATCAGGAGGAAGTCGCCACTGTGTGCAAGACCTTTGAGTCCTTCCTGTCCCTGCCCCAGGAGCTCCAGGTAGCCCGCATCCTCATGGTGGCCTCCCACGGGCTAGGCCTATTGGGGTTTCTGCTCTCCGGCTTTGGGTCTGAATGCTTCCAGTCTCACAGGATCAGATGGGTATCCAAGAGACGGCTTTGCCTCCTGGGAGGGACTTTGGAGGTATCCGCTTCAGCAACTACCCTCTTTCCAGTCTCCTGGGTGGCCCACGCCACAGTCCGAGACTTCTGGGATGACACTGTCCCTGAGATTGTACCTCGATGGGAGTTTGGAGATGCCCTCTTCCTGGGCTGGGCTGCTGGTATTTTCCTAGCTCTTGGTGGGCTACTCCTCATCTTCTCAATCTGTCTGGAAAAAGAAGAAGCGCCTTCTCCCTGGATGGCTGATCCCACAGTGCCCCGCTCCTGTGCTCCAGTGGAGGAGTCAGACAGCTCCTTCCACCTCACGCCAAGGCCTGGGAACCTGGTCATCTAGGACTGGCTTCTGCCAAGGAATCTCTGGAATAAAGGAATGTCAGTAGAATCCTTTCTCTTCCTTATCCTTCCTCACCTCTGTACTTGCTTAACTCATTTTGTGGGGGATGGTCACTGTCCCAGGTGTCAAGGGTATGATTACCTTGGTGATATCGAAGTCCTCATTTCAGAATGAAAAATCAGGGCACAGTGTCTAACAAACATGTCTTTCTAACTTGAGATTTTATTTATATAAAAATTGTTTCAAACATATAACATCAATTATTGATTCTTTTATTACTAAGGAAAAATATATTACAAAATTATATCCATCAAAATCTAGTGTGAAGAGGCACGTACTGTATGTATAGCTAGAAAAGTTTATGAAGATGCCTTGGCAAAGGAAAACGACAGCAGCTTAGGGTAGCAATCCTCCTTACATCCATTTTCAGCCTCAAGTATGCAATTTGAAAGGGAGCTTCCCAATGTACCTTTGCTGTTTTGTAGATGCTTAATATCCCAGAGGGGAGACGCAGTCTTGTTTGTGCTCTGTGAGGGGGCTCCGAGGGATCTGCCCTGTCTGCCCCACCTGAAGGGAGCAGTCTGAGGGAGAGGGTGACCAACCCTGCTGGTTTGCCTGGAACTCAGTACTTCCAGTGCTAAAACTAGAAAAGTCACAAGCAAAGCTGGACAAATTGGTTATTTTAGAGTGGCTGTATCCAAGTACTGCCCAATGTGAGTGTGTGGAGAGAATTCGCTTTTACCATGTGCAAAATCACGGTATGAACCCCTTAAATTTTAACCCAAATGTCAGCAGACCTACCAAGGCTTTATTGCAAATAAACAATCCGCATTCCTCTGCTTGCTCCTCCAGCACCGGCAGGCTCTCTGCCAGACCACACCACCCCAGGTCTTTCTTCCGGCCCTTCTGCAAGTCCTCAGGGACAAGCCTCAAGTCGCTCAGAAACTTGTCAGCTGCCATTGTCCCGCAGTA